ACATATGAATGGAAGGGCTTTGTTACATACGTAATCAGCACCTTCTCAGCCCTTCACATGGATTTTCTCTCTCATCTCTCACAATAACCTCATGAGATGTGAGTATGATAGTTTTTTTTTTCATTTTATAGATGAGGAAACTGAGGCTCAGAGAGGTTAGGAGACCAGTCAAAGTGGGAGGCCTCACACCTGTTAGGTGAGCACCCAACCAATGAGCCACACCCCAGACTAATCACATCACCTCTCCAGTTGAAGATCACACCCTTTTATATATATATTATTTATTTATTTATTTTAGTTATTGACGGACACAACATCTTTGTTTGTATGTGGTGCTGAGGATCGAACCCGGGCCGCACGCATGCCAGGCAAGTGCGCTACCGCTTGAGCCACATCCCCAGCCCCCCTTTTTTGTTTTGTGATTAAGGAAACTGAGGTACAGAGGTACCAATAGTCAGGGGTGGTGCACCTGGATTTCAAACCCTACCCTCAGATCCCCCCTAACTTTTGCCACAAGGGGACAAACATGGGGCCCTTCTTTAAGGGAGGAAATAAGAATCATCCATCCCTCCACACCAATGGCTCCTGCTATGAGCCAGGTCTTATGGAGAATCAGCTGGGCTGACTGCCAGGCTGGGGCCTCAGAGGTAGTCTTGGGGCCACACACTGGCCACTGGACTCTGAACAACCTGCCTATCACATCCTCTCCTCCCATTTTCTTCCTTCCTCACCCCACTGCAGCCACAGTGATGTTCTTACACCTGCTCAAAAAACATTAGGCACTGTCCTGCCTCAGGGCCTTTGTACATGCTGTTCCTTCTGCCTGGAATGCTGTCCCCCCAGATATCTTCCTCTCTCATTTCTTTCCACGCTGTGTTCAAATGCCCCTTCCAGGTGAGGCTGTTCCTGACCTCTATATTAAAAGGATCCCCCTCCCACCATCACACTGTCCCATACCCTGTTTCAGTGGCCTCCCGGCATTTGTAGCCACTGGGCAGCATCATCAAGTTGCTTGTCACCCCTGTTGAAATGTCAGCCCCACGAAGGCAGGAATTTTATGTCTTTTGTACACTGCTGTGTTGTCAGTGTCCAGGTCAGTTCCTGGCACACAGCAGGCACTTAATAAATACCTATTGTTGAAAGCATGGGGTGCTGGACAGGGACAACTGCAAGCTCAAGGAAGCTCAGTCCTCCAAAGGCAAGACGTTCCAGGGGCCTTGAAAGGGGAGCGCTCAGTGACAGCAGAAAAGGAAGGGTAAACCCCTCCTCCACCTCAGGGTGACTTGCCCTGCCCCCTACTGTGTTCTCCTAACCCCTCTGAGCCTCATAAAACTATAGCACCCACCTCATGAGGTTATATGAGAGATGAATGAGAAGATACATATAAAGGGCTGAGAAGGTGCTGAATACATATGTAATAAAGCCCTTCTGTTCTTATGTAAAAAGCACTCAGAAATAACTAACAGGAGCTGGAGGCATAGCTCAATGAGACTCAGGGTGCAATCTTTGGCACCATGAAGAAAAATAAAGAAAAGAAAAATAAAAAGGAAAGGCAAAGAAGGAAGGAAGGAAAGAAGGAAAGAAGGAAGGAAGGAAAGAAGGAAGGAAGGAAAGAAGGAAGGAAGGAAAGAAGGAAGGAAGGAAGGTTGGTTCTTTGCTGTGTGTCAGGCCACTGCCATACTTCATGTAGATTCTTTGTTTTACTCCCCACAAAAAATCTTACAAGGCAGAATCTGTCAGTCCCGTTTATTGGTGGGATAGCAGAGGCACAAAGAGGTGGAATGACCTCTCCAAGGTCACACAGCTCTATTCTAGGACAAGTGGCCACAGGTAATCACAGGAGTTGAACACGGGCAGTTGAACACGGTGTGGCCCACACAGGACGGTGTGATGAGGAGGCCAGGGAAGATGCTGGGCTGGAGGGGGACATCAGAGGGGGAAGGAGCCAAGGCACTAAGGATCTGTCCCCCTCTCCTCTCAAGAGGCATGTGAACCACCCAAGGAGTGGTGGGATGGAGGCCCAGAGTCCTGGTCCCTAACCGGCTCCTCCCTGCTTTGGTATTTGCACCCCCCAGGGCTGTTTCCACAAGCTCCTGAAGATAACCCAGACCCAGAGCTTTACCCTGAGTGGGTTCTCCCTGGGGGCAGCAGTGATACAGGTAAGACCTGACCTCTCTGAAGGTCCCCCCCCCACCTGCCCCGCCACCCCCGTACTGAGGGTTGAACTCAGGGATGCTTTACCACAAAGCCACATCCCAGCCCTTTTTATTTTTTATTTTGAGAGGGGCTTTCACGAAATTGCTCAGGGCCTTGCTCAGTTGCTGAGGTTGACTTTGAACTTGTGATCTTCCTGCCTCAGCCTCCCATGTTGCTGGGATTACAGGCCTGCGCCATCATGTGGGACCACATCAAGCCCCTACAGTGGCTGAACGCTGTTCTCATCAAGGGTGGGAGGGGCCATAGTAGGGAACAAAGGACAAAAATCTCTCCCAGGTGGAGCTGACGGTCACATGACTATTTCTGTTGGATACTGGCTGCAGGCTGCAGTGGTAGAGCTCTTGTCTAGCGTGTGCGGACCCCGGGGTTCCATCCCCAGCACTTCAAAAACAAGACAAAAGGCAAGAAAGAAAAAGAAAATTCGCTATAAGGGGGACGTCACAAGAGCGCTGGGGCCTCCCCCCTGATGTGGGAGAGGAAGAACACTGGCTCATTCTGGGGACGTGTCTTCTTCTTCTTCCTCTTCTTCTTCTTTTTTTTTTTTTAAGAGAGAGAGAGAGAGAGAGAATTTTAATATTTTTTTCTTATTTTTCGGCGGACACAACATCTTTGTCTGTATGTGGTGCTGAGGATCGAACCCGGGCCGCACGCATGCCAGGCCAGCGCGCTACAGCTTGAACCATATCCCCAGCCCCCCTTTTTTGTTTTGTGATTTGTCTTCTTGACCTCTTTCCTGGTGGGGGTCCCATGGGGCCAAGAGCGGAGACCCTGGACTTGGCCCTGGGTGCACCACTCACTAGCTGTATGAGGCCGTGGCCTCCTCTCATGGGTTGGGAGGCACCGATGAGGTGAAATTCAAAGGCTTTGCGTGATGCCCTGCATGAACTGATTCCGGAAGGTTCTCCTCAGTTCTAGAGAGACCTTGTTTAGTGTTGTCACAAGGCAGTGGCTGTAAGGGGATGTGTACTCCATACTTCACTAGAGAGGCCTGAAGGCCACTCACCGTGGAGACACTGTGTACAAGGGCTTTTCTGACTCCTGAGCCCTGTCTGAAGAGCTCTTTGACATGGACAGTCGTCCTAGTCTGTTTTCTATTGCTAGCTAAGAATCCTTAAGGCTGGATATTAGGGTTTGGATTTGGAATGTCCCCCAGAGGCCCTTGTGGTAAAGGATTGGTCACCAGTCTGTGCTATTACTGGGAGATGACGAGACCTTCAATGTGTGGGCCCTCCCCTGGTGCAGTGGTGTATACCTGTGATTCCAGTGGCCAGGGGAGGATGAGGCAGGAGGGTGGTAAGTTCAAGGCCAGCCTCATCAACTTAACAAGACCCTGTCTCAAAATAAAAAAAATTTTAAAAGCTGGGGATGTGGCTCAGTGGATTCAATCCCCCTGGATTCAATCCCCAGTACTCCCCACTTAAAAAAATAATATTAACTGAGAAGAAGTAGAAATCTGATTTCTAGAGTTGCCAAATTGTTGCCAAGTCATGTGTGTGTGTGTGTGTGGTGGGGGCGTTTGTTACTGGGGATCAAATCCAGAGCCATTCACATTCTGATCATGTGCTGTAATCCTGAGGGACACCCCCAGCCCAGGTATGATTTTTTTAAAAGAAGTAAATAGAAATTTTGGAATCAACAAATACAATTAAAATGAAACTTCACTATAGGGATTCAGAAACAAATTTAAATTGGCAGAAGAAAGTATCAGTGAACTTGAAGCTGGATCAACTGAAATTATTTAGTCTGAGGGACAGAAAGAAAAATTAACAGAGCTTCAGGGCCTATGGGACACCATCAAAAAGGCCAACATATGTGCACCAGGAGTCTCCGAAGGGGAGAAGAAAAAGGTGGCAACCAGACAGTCTCCACATTAAGAATCTATGATCCAAGAAGTTGGATGAACTCCAAGTAGAACAGGCTCCCAGAGATCCACACCTACACACTGTGTAAGAAGGCAGGACGGGAGGCGCATCTCAGGGGTAGAGCGTGTGCTTAGCATGAGTGAAGCCCTGGGTTCAACCCTGAGTGTCCGAAACGGAACACAGACAAAAATCCAAGCAAAACCAAAGAAAGAAAGAAAGAAAGAGGGTCACAACTCATTTGTCATGAGAAATTATGGAGGACAAAAGGTAGTAAATTGCATATTTAAATGCTAGAAGAAATTCTATCAACTAAGAATTCAATAACCAGAAAAATTACCCTTCACACATGATGGAGAACTTAAGACGTTCCCAGGTCAACCAAAACCAAGGAAAGCAGTCATAGCAGACCCGCCCCACAGAAATCCTAAAGGGTATCCCCAAGGCCAAAATGAAGGACAAAAGATACTGACCTGTTAAATCCCATGTTGTGATTCTGTGACTATTTCAAAGACATTGACACAAGTTCATTAAAAGAGATGGGAAATAATAACCTCATACTTGTGTATGTTATTATGTCAATTATATCATTATAATTATATTACTATATATGATATATAATTATATATCCATAATGACATACTATATTTAAAATTTTATACGTGTTCCATATCTTGGACAATGAGACCAAATAGGTTAATATGAATCCTCTCCCCAGAATAAAAATTAGAAAAACAATGTAGAAAGTATTTTTTACTCAAAGTTGTCTACTTGTATTTAATTTAAAAGACAACTGCAGCTGAGCATGGTGGTGGGTACCTATAGTCCAATTAATCAGGAGGCCAAAGTAGGAGGATCACTTGTGCCCAGGAATTCAGGGACAGACTTGGCAATATAACAAGACCTTCTGTCAAAAATCTAATTAATCAATCAACTAATTAAAAAGACAACTGTGGGGACTGGGATTGTGGCTCAGTGGTTGAGCACTTGCCTTGCACATATGAAGCACTGGGTTCGATCCTCAGCACCACATAAAAATAAATAAAGGTATTATGTCCATCTGCAATAAAAAATTTTTAAAAAGACAACTGTGTCTTTTTTAAAAAAATTATGCTAATATACTTGTATATAAATAGTGTATTTGTATGAAAATAATACTACAAAAGAAGATAGAATAAGGCTATAAAGGAGCATGTATTTTGTATGTTATTAGTTTGCCACAAATCCAAACTACATTGCAAAAATTAAGATTTTTAACTGTATTCCCTAAGGCAACCACTAAGAAATAATTTTAAAATATTGTAAAATAAGTGAGGGAATTAAGATAGTACATTAGAATATATCTAATGCAAAAGAAGTTCATGATGAAAGAATAGAAAGTCAAACCACAGGGCAAATGAAAACAAATTAGAAAGTAGCAGATAGATATCCTACTTTATCAGCAATTCCATTAAATGTAAAAGGACTAAACATTCTGATCAGAGACAGAGATTGGAAGGATGGATTTAAAATTCTGATCAATCTATATTCAGTGTACAAGAAACACTTTAGATTCAAAGTCACAAATGTTTTGAAAATAAAAGGGTGGGAAAAGATGTACCATGTCAACAGTACTCTATATATAACATAGAGCTGCATGGCTACACTAATATCAGACCAAAAAAAGTTACTAGAGACAAAAAGGGACATTTCATAATGATAAAAGGGTCAGTGCTTATGGAAGTCATTATAATTACAAACA